TTTCGACAAATTTTAATGAACGTTCGGCGAAAGCAGAGTGAAAAGTAGCTTTCAGGAGATGATAATCAGATTAAAGCTACCATGTAATTAATGTGTTCTTCGGCTCGAATTTTATACCGGTGTTTCGTTCTTTTTCAACTTGCTCTTGTCAAAATATCAGGTTAATCGAGAGTTAAGATGCAGAATTTTAAGCCAGCTTATCAAGACGTAATAAAGATCTTCCAATATACACATCTGTTTTTTTTCTTTTTATTGTCATTAGGCAATTTTAATTTCCACAAGGAAGAAATTATCTCGCAACATCTTCGGCAACGTTTAAATAATGTCAAAGCTTAAATGTTTGAAGGTTCCTTCGAAAGTAGACGTTTAATGACGCACGACAAACGACACGTAAAAGCCGCTTAAATAACGTAAAATGAGAAAATATATAAACAAGGCCTGGAAAGTTTTCATAATGCATTAAAAAAATACATCAAAGTATTGTCCATTTTCATTGCCTAATAACGTTTCAAAGCTAAATAAATGATGAATCTGTTAATTAACGGCACGGCGAAAGAAGATGCCATTTTATGGCATTGTGAAAGAAGCAATTTAACTTCCTACGAGACCGCACATAAATGTACAAAGAACTCTCGTAAGAAACGTTTCTAAGAAAACACCGTTTGTCCAAGCGTTGAAATCACCGAGTTGTAATACCCTCCTCTTAGCATCGAAACTAACTATACTAACTAATACTAACAAAAAATGATCGGTGTAATTTTTTTCCATGAAAATATTACAGACTCACGAGTGTAAGTATAATTTTGTAAATTTCAATTGACGAATTTTTCCACTTTTTGAATCTTCAATTCAATTCAAACCAAAATTTGCGTCGAAACTTACTATCAAAATATCAATTATACTAATTAATACTAACAAAATACTAATTATACTAACTAATATTAACAAAATACTAATTATACTAACCAATACTAACAAAATACTAATTATACTAACTAATACTAACAAAAACGATAAAAGTCTCTAACTTTTTCCATGAAAATATTACAAACGTCACGAGTGTAAGTACTCTTGTAAATTTCAATTATCGGCCTTTGAATTTTCAACTCGATCCAAATCAATCGCTACAAAGGGAACATTTGCGTCGAAACTAACTATACTATCAAAATATTAATTATACCAATTAATACTAACTATACTTTTGTAAATTTCAGTTATCGGCCTTTGAATCTTCAATTCGATCCAAATCAATCGCTCGGAAGGGAAAATTTTCTCAAATTCGGCCCTTTCTCTTCTCCGTCTACTTCAGGAAAAGGATGGAAAGTCGCGATAGAAACTGCAGAAACTGCAATATCCGGCGGCTCGACTATTTTGGCGTCGCCTGGGCACCAAAAACGAACACGCCACACGATAATGGCCGTTGATGACGATCGTTTACATGCGCTCGTAATCGTCCTCGAGTCAGAATTTAAATATGCTCTTCAGGTTTCCACGCAGCAGAGCGTCCGCTAAAGAAGAAGAAGAAGAAGAAGACGAAGAGGAGGAGGAGGAGGAGGAGGAGGAGGAGGAAGAAGAATAAGAAGAAGGAGAAGAGGAAGAGAGTAACGCGGATCGCAATTCAGCGCCGGGAGGTCGATGTACGCGAGGCCTGGTCGTTATTAAAATAAATTCATTAAGCCGAAACGGGGATCGCGCGAGTTCCCCGCACGGGCGCGTCGTAAGAAATTCACCGTGTTGGTAGCGTGCAATTATATTGTCATTAGTGACGTCACGCGCGTAATACAACGCGGCTTCCTCTTGCTTCTCTCTTCTCTTCCTCTTTTTCCCTTTCCCCCCTCCTTTTTTGTCTCTTTCTCTTCTTCTTCTTCTTCTTCTTCTTCTGGGATGCTCCTCTGGCATCCTCTGAGCTTCGCTCAGGGTACCATCGTATCGCGGAGGATCCATCTGGACGAAGAGATAATCCAAGCACCACCCGTGGACCGTTGATTATCGGACGCGTGTAACCCACGAGATATCGCGTAGTCGGCGCGCTGCTGCCGCGTTAACTCGTAATTTCCTTCGTGACGCCGTTTCCAGAGCCTCAGTTCTGACTCGGTCAAGTTTCAAGAGTCGAACCGACTTCGTTTAGTGTTCTCGAAACGCTCCCGCGAATTAAGTTTCTCAGCTTATCTTTTCGGAGCTGTCTTTCAGAAAGAAACAGACTGTGGTAGTTGATGATTTTAATATGAAGTGAAATCTGTTTTCGGAAGATATCAAAGTATATGCGATTTGCATGTACAGCCGATTATAATGGCAATGGTAATGAAAGAGAGAGAATCTACCGTTTATTTTCAATAAATAACGCAGTTTTATCAATTACAAAAAAAAAAAGAGAAAAGTAAATACAAAAGACTTTAAACCCGTACAGCACTTCTGATTTTGCACTTGATTTAAATCGTATATCCCGATCGATCGGAGTAAAATTTCCAAATCCCATCTCTTTTGTTCCTGTCACCTGAGATTCTATCATTCTCCGATCGATCGATTTCACTTTCCCGAACCTCGTCAAAGAAGGAGAAAGAAAAAAAAAAGAGGTGTTTAATATCGTGAGTCGAAGAGACTCGCGCCGTCGGCGTCGTAAACGAAGAAAGAATTTGAATTTCAAATCGGACACGCATTAAGAAAAGCGGCGGGGCAACGTGCTCGCGAACACGCCCGGCGGAATTTCACTTTTCGCGCGTAAAAACGAGCCTTAAAGGATCGCTAAGTGCATCTAATTCGACTCGTTTTCGGTCGGAACGATCGGCTTTTACGATCGGGTCCCGCGATTCCCTCGGCCATCGTTTCACTCTCTCTCTCTCCTCTCTCCACCCTCCTTCGAGCGGAGATACGAGACAACGCAACACGTCCGCCGATAATTCCGCGCGCGACACCGAGGCGAGGCCGCGGCCCTCGCGCAAGAAAACCGACCGTGCAAAGCCATGAAATTATGCAAATGCACGCCGCTGCAAGGTGTTTGGATAATTGCGCGCGCTGTCGGCTCCGCGCAGCCCTTACTTAAAATCACATCAGCGCCGTGTGCTGCTGCCCTCGGCCGACGACTTCTGCGCGCCCGCGTCTCGCCTTCTCTCATCAGTGTCACCGCCCCATAACGCACGCACATCCTCTCCTCGCGTTTATTACGCTTTTTTTGCAAACGCTTCGCCATCACCCCCTTCCCTCTGTCTGTCTCCCTTTGTTCTATTGCCAGTTACCGCCGGTGCATATTCAGTTTTCGAAAAACAAATCGCACGCGTGGTTTAAAGAGGTCGGGATAGTTTGGAATTTTCTTTTGTTTCGTTTTAAGTAGTAGTTTGAAGTCTTAGAAATAAGATACAAAAGGTCCTGATTTATGGGGTATAAATAATAAATCCGCGGATACATAAATAATTTGAATTTTGTATCACTGTTTATCAACTTTAAGCAGTATTATATAAAGTGTAAACCGTGCGATCTAAATATCACTTTTTGGTGAGTATTAGGAGATTTGGATTCAATTTAGTTGCGAATTGTAAGAACTGTGAGCCGTGATATATAAGTAAAAAGAGTAAGTAAAGGATACATATGAAACTTTGAACGCGTTTTTGTCGAAACTAGATTTTTAGAAACGGTGTGCAAGATACCTCGGAATCTAACCAACCGATTACTGTGAAACTTGGTACGTATCTTTAGTGTAACATTTACCAGATATTGACGATCGGACATTTTTTAATTTTTAACAATTTCGAAAAATAAAAACAAAAGACATAGAAATTTTTGGCATAAATTCGATACATCAAAAACAAATAGCTGCTATTTTCATAATTTTCAATCCCTAGAGAATATTGTTTACTCTTGAACTCTTTTTGCCTTTTTCTTGCAGCTAATCCTGCTTGGCTGGAATCACGCACACCGATAGGCAATGTAAAAAAGAAAGTTATGTAAAAGGATGCCGTTAAAAAGCTAAATAAGAGCCGTCTCTTTTTTCACTTTTAATGTCGCTTTTTATAGTTCGTAATGTGTTCAAAGAAACCACAAAAGCTCATATCAATCAAATATGTACTTCTGTTTTACTAGCCCTCCAAAGTATTCGTAATTTTTAGGCCCGTCAAACTGTCCTGCCTCCTTAATTCCTCTGTACGTGGGAAACACGTTAAACTAATCCTCGTTAACCTTCCAGCCGCTGACGATCTTCGTCTCTCTTTTTTCTTCTTTTACTTTTTTTCTTTTTTACAACTCGTCCCTTTCGAAATGATCTTCGAGTTCTACGATTGATCGTGCGAAGCGAGATTGGTTATTTCGACGGGTTAAGCGAGAGGGGCAAAACGTTTATGGCAACACGTTCTCGAGTTAGAGCGTAATTATATCATTTGCGCTCTGCGATACGGTGTATAAATTGGAGATTAACGGCGATGTCGATTAATCCGGAAGATGTGGAAGAACGTAGAAATAAAAAAGCGGGAGGTATCGCAATTTATTGAAATAAATTTACTGAACTGACTTTGAATCAAATGTGCCAACCTCGTACGTATTATAGATCCCTCTCGATCGAGGTTTAATTAAATATCCTACAGATATTGACACAAGATATTAAAAATTAATAGAAACGAGCTATTTAGAATAAGAGAGTGGATATCTCCGCGAGTGGTCGATGCCGATCTGAAACAAGAAGACTTCCCGCAGTTGCTCGAGGCTGTTCGAAATAGTCAATTGTAGCTTCGTGAGTATCTTCCTCGGGATTTAACAGCCACGTGTAAACTTGTATAATTTCAAATAACGATTCTCGTGATCGCGATCATAGAAATTAGTATGATCAACAGAAGTGTTAAGCGTTTCTACTGGAAGCACGTTATCGCCCTAGTTTATTCTACCGGAAGAACGCAAAAGAACGATAACTAACAAATACATAAAGCAGTTCGACAGTTTTTCGTGTTACTCTGTTTCTTTTTCTTTTTTTTCTTTTCGTTCGTTGCTCAGTACGGCTTGTTAGAAATAATACTCACTTTGGTTTTGCTTCCACCGATGCTTCCTGGTCGGATGCTACCCGTTTCGTAGAATCTCGTGAGGATCTTCGACACGCATCCGTGAGAGACGAGAAGTTGGCGTGAAATATCGCAAGGCCTGACACCGACCAAGGCGAGCTGCACGATTCTTTGTCGAACGCAATCGGGCAATGGCCTCCCATTAACGAACACACCACCCAATTGATTGACTCCTGCTTGACCTACAACACCAGCGTATAATTAAACGATTTCGTTTGGGCCCAACTTGAAGTCTCTTTCGTTTCTTCTTTCATTTCTTTTTATTTCAAATATTAGTTAATTAATGAAAGTTCATTTCTAATATTCATTTCTTATATTAATTATCCAATGAAAATGCATTTCTAATATTAGTTATCCAATGAAAATTCATTTCCAATATTAGTTATCCAATGAAAATTCATTTCCAATATTAGTTATCCAATGAAAATTCATTTCCAATATTAGTTATCCAATGAAAATTCATTTCCAATATTAGTTATTTAATGAAAATTTTATCTATCAACAACTTCTATATATGAAAATTACCTAATAATATTTCTAATATTAGTTATCCAATGAAGATTTTATTTATCAACAACTTCTATATATGAAAATTACCTGATAATATTTCTAATATTAGTTATCCAATGAAGATTTTATCTACCAACAACTTCTTTTTGTGAAAATTATCTAATAATATTCCTAATATTAGTCAACAATGTCTTTTTATATGAAAATTTCATTCATCAACAATTTTTTTTCTATCTATTAACAATGGAATGTTAGAGAGACGTAGAAAATTAGAACGTATGCGTCTGTTTTGCTTTCAAGCAAGAGGAAAAGCCAGGATAATTACCAGGACGATAATCTCGAGAAAATCTCGTTTTAACGAAATTAAATCATTAACTGCCTGGTGGAAGGAAAAGATCGATGGTATTGCCAAGCTGCAGCTGTGTCTCTTTTATAAAATGGCAATGATCCGCTAACAATTATCCTGGTTTAGGGTGGAGCATTGGGCAGATGCATTTTTCCTAACCTATAATGACACAGTGAGGTAATGACAGAACGAAATCATTGGTTTCCAGACCTTTGTTCGCCGCAGTCCGTTCTAGAAATGCATAGAACGAATCTACAATCCAAAGAAAAATTGACGAAATAGCTTATTCCTATTTCCTACTCTCTGATGTCTTTTAACCATCCCATTTCTAAAGCTTATCCTTTCTTTAATACAATTAAAGATTAGCAGAATCTCATAATAATAAAAAATTATTAATATAATATAATAACACATATAATGTAATATCATATTCTATAATATAATAATATATTTACATCATATAGTATACTGTATAATATATTATATACTATATATATTATACATTACAGTATTATATTATATATAGCATAATATTGTATTATAATATAGTATATAGTAGATATATTATATTATATATAGTACAGTATATTGTATTGTATTATATATTATATATTATAGTATTATATTATATATAGCATTATATTGTATTATATTATAATATAGTATATAGTAGATATATTATATTATACAGTATATTATGATATAAATACAAATAATAACAAATATAATATAAATAAAAATAATAATAAAATCTCACAATAATAAAGTACAACAACTCTATATGAAATGTAAAGATATAAAGAATTTTAACAGTTTATCCACTGGCAGCCTATTAATCGACTATTTACCGCCATCGGTAAAGCGTTAAGACAATGAAATTGAACCGATTCGAAGAATCCAAGTATTCACAAGTATTGGTCGAGTTTCGAACGATCGCCGAGGGACGAAAACAGAAAGGGATCTGACAGAGAATCGTCATCTTGACATTCTTTCTTGAGGGAAGGGAGACGTATAATTATCCGTTGTTCCGTCGGCGGATGTCGAGGGACAAGGGACGAGAACGCAGAATAATGCTCGCCGGGATTGTTTTCCGCTAATTTTCGAAACGTCCTCCCGGACGTTCGAATCACCGTTTTTACCAATTTTTCACGCACCGCGCGCGAAACGAAATTATCCAGGATCTGAGGCTCTTTCCTCAAGGAGAGTTTGCCAATCGCGACGCGTCTCGTTGCATTGTAAAACGGAGACAGCCGCTCATTCTGCGCTTGTTCTCCGACGATCCTCGCGACGATAACGCGTTCTGAGGATTTTCGATACCGTTGATAACAGCTTAGGCGTGAGCCGAGGTCGCGTAATTGTTACCTGTCCCTCTGTCGTGTAGTTACGCGCATTTTAATTGCTACAAAGTAAGCTCCTTTACGGCGACGGAGAATTTATGGTGGATGCTTTACGCTTTACGTTGCCTTGTGCGATTCTCTGCGCCATTCGACGATTAAAGAGCATGAAATGAGAATAATCTCAGCTTCAATGCATTCGCAAAGGAATATTTACGGAGACGAGATTACTGGAACATTTGAAGAATTATTATTATCCGGTTTATTGAAAGGGATCTATACCTCAGCAGGGAGGAAAGCATGAAATCGTGGTTCGTAAAATGATGAAAGATGAAATTATTAGAACCTTCAAAAGGATCATTATTATCTAATTTGAATGATTAAATTACAGAGAATTTATATGTTACATATTATATCATAATAAATATCTACAGTTTTTATTGTATTATAAAATCAAATCCTTTTGCGTGTTACTATTTCTTGACGGTAAATACAAATACACGCTTGTAGTCATCAACTTCAATACTCATCATTCCACCATTATATTTCTTTCGTTCGATCCTCTGGCGTTAATTTTAAAATTAGTACGTTTGTGAAACGACAGAGAAATTTGTCCACGTCTAAATGTGGATTAATACCATGTCATTATCACTACTGTTATTAATATCATTAGCACAGAACTAATATCCTCTACGCGAACTAATATCCTCTACATGTGTCCTCAACGCGAGTCAACCGTTCGATTAATTTCCAGAACTGGCAAGTCTGTTCGTGGAAAATATCACGGAATGAGATGTTACATCGAAACGGCGCGCCATTTAAACCGGGAAATCAAGCATTTGCTGGTGATCGTTCGACAACGAACGAACAGAAACCTGATGACTTCTAGTAACATCAGCGAGAGCCAGACTCGGTCGTGAATTCCGTGCTTTCAAAGTTATCCAATCGTCGTTAACTTTTTCCCCCCCGATTTCCTAACATTCGAATCTCTCACATTCTTGTTGGCCACCTTGCTCTTCGACGAGGCAATCGCACGATTGCTTCGAATTGTCGCACGGCGATCAAAGATCAAAAATGAGCACTAAACGAGCTCCTTCCCAACGGAGAAATTATCATAATTCGATTCGCAACTGAAACTTTCGATTCGGTGGATCCACGCGAGGCTGTTTAATTTATGACATTCAACGAATGAAATCGACCTTTTCGGGACTACTTTGCTTTGCATAGTGTCTTCGCCATTCGTAATCTTATCTTTGAAGTCCTGACTTTGGAATTTAAAATATATATATATATATGTATAGTGATCTGCAGATGAGCTGGAGATGAAGAGAATTTTAGCTCGTGCATAAATTTATCTTTCACGACGTTTTTGAAAATTTCGTTGAAATGGTGTCAAAGTGGACGAGTTAGATAATTAATTTATTTAACAAATTCAATACTGTTACATCTATACTTGTACTATATCTATAATTTATTATTACCGTTAAATTTATTCAACGAATCTAGAATGCGCCAATTTTTTATTAAGTATATCAAAGCCACGGCCATCATCTCATTCTTTAAATCTTACAACAACTTTATTGTTATACCGAGCTGTAAGTTTTCTGAATTAACTTTGAATATTTCCCCTCACTTTGCGAAAAGATCGATCTCCAATTCCAAGTTTCGTCAAATGCTTCTCGTTTCTCGAACTCCGAAGCCACACGACTTCAAGTATCTTTTCTCACTTTGCCAAGAAATCCAGTTATCTCGAGTCGAGTCGTAAAACTGGAAAATAAAAACGTCGATCGATCACTAATTTTATTGATCGTTGAAAATCGTAGAGGCGACGAGAGGGAACGCCGACCATGCGCGGAATAAAATTTGAGTTACGCCGAAGGCTCTCCTCCTCTCTTTTCTCTCTGGGAAAGGATCCAAACAACATCGGGATATTAAGCCAGCCATAAATCAACCGGTGGCTTACCGACCGCGAGAACACCATCATTCTCCGATCATTTTCGGTAGCCGACGATTACTCAACGGCGTAATTATTAAACCGGCGAATACGTACGGAATATCGCGGATATTTCTGCGATCTTTTCAATGAACTTGTAATGTTGCAGCGACAGTGTGTGTTTCATTTTTTGACATTTTGGTGAAACGAAATTTTTTCACACGTGGGCAATCCTTGATTCTCTCCGTGAATCGTTGTTGCATACTCATGCAACGACACACAGCGACCAATAAATTGCAAACGATCATCATCCACGAGCTGAGATTAAATTAATTTATTATTTAATTTATAATATTGATCATTTTTGATTAAATTTGAATGAAATCTTTTCCACGAATAATTTAACAACAATAGTCTTACAAGCTACAAAACATATATCATACACCCAAATTACAGTTTAATTTATAATATTGATCGTTTGATTAAATTTGAATGAATTCTTTTCCACGAATAATTTAAGAACAATGGTCTTGCAAGTTACAAAACATATATCATACACCCAAATTACAGTTTAATTTATAATATTGATCGTTTGATTAAATTTGAATGAATTCTTTTCCACGAATAATTTAAGAACAATGGTCTTGCAAGTTACAAAACATATATCATACACCCAAATTACAGTTTAATTTATAATATTGATCGTTTGATTAAATTTGAATGAATTCTTTTCCACGAATAATTTAAGAACAATGGTCTTACAAGCTACAAAACATATATCATACATCCAAATTACAATTTAATTTATAATATTGATCGTCTGATTAAATTTGAATGAAATCTTTTCCACGAATAATTTAAGAACAATAGTCTTAAAAGCTACGAAACATCATATTCCCAGAGGAACTGATCATCTCAACAATAAAATGAGACTCCAATATAGTTAAGAACTTCCAACAACCATTAAGACACAGCTTTCGTCCGAAATAATCGCAGCCTCTCTAAACCGCATCCAATGAAGTCCTAAAATTTTATAAATCGTCCCGTTTAAAAAACCACGAGATCTCTCTTCCGTCTCGTCGGGGCATCGATATAAAGTATCCTTTACAGTTAGGTAAATTGCACGTTGGACTCGCTTCCTCGTCGAGTAATCCAGATCGGGGCAATTACGAGCGGGGAAAATGTACGCTGCGATAAAAAAAGCTGCGAAGAAAATTATCGCGGAGAGAGATGAGAGAAGGTGTCGACGATAATGAAAGAAACACGCGAGAGGAGTCGACCGAAGGTGGTGGATGATTTAAGGACGCCGCTCAGCGGCGACAAACTTTTCGGCACGTTATTACGAGGGAATCACATTAAAAAAATGGAGAGGAAGAGTGGAGAAATTCTCGCGTGTCGATGCCTCGTTATTCATACGACGATATCCGACATCGGAGCTAACGATTTATTCGGCTTTATCGGGCCTCCGAATTATTATTTCGCCTCTTTAAAAATCCTGTCGCATGCGCGTCTCTCCTCCCGTCTTCTTCTCCTTTTTCTTCTTCTTCTCTTTTTTTACTTTCTTCCCCTCTCCTTATTTTATCTTTATCCACTCCACGCCTTAATTTTGGCGCTGAACACGGCCAAGAAAGAGTGTCGAACTTCCTGTTCCAGGCCCCGAAAATCCAGGCCTCGAAATTACACCGAACAGCGACAGACCGCCGGCCAAATTATTATTACGGCAAAAACCGAGCAGGAAGCGGCGTTCGTATCTTTTATAAAAATCTCACGGGGCGAGATTGCGCGAATAACTGTCGGATTCACCGAGCCAAGTCTAGTCTCCCCCATCGACGATGGGCCAAAGCATGAAACTAATCGAGGGTGAACGGTTGACGGAGATTCACCTGATCTCGGGGAAAGGAACATTGTAAAGTATTCGATTTGTTCGAACGACTGTGTCTTTTTGCTAATTTTCTTCACTGGATATATTTTCGTAGAAGGAGAAATTCAGAGGTTTGGACAGTTTACTTTTAAAAAGCTTTTCGATTTGTGACTTTAATTATTTAATATAATATTTAATGTATTTCCAATATTGAAATATTGATAATTTAATGTTTGATATATTATTTTTAATATTATCACGTATAATTTAATATTTAATGGATCGTTCAATTATTTAATATAATATTTAATGTATTTTTAATATTAAAATATTGATAATTTAATATTTAAAATATTAAATTATATATTATCATATATAATTTAATATTTAATACATCGTTCAATAATTATTTTAATTATTTAATATAATATTATAAATTAATTTAATATAATATTATAAAAGTTATATCTTGATCGTTATTGCAAGATGTAGTAATTAGGTTACGCATTTTCGTACATTTGCATGAAAGAAATTTAAATGTCTTAAACACTCCTAATGAGGCTTAATGAACGAAACAAATAACGTATATTGATAAAAAGATGAAATTCTATGGATTAATAATTAAGTCGTTGATTTTTCTGTTAATCCAGATATCATTTTTATCATTCTTTGAAAAAAATAACTTCTTTAATATCTACTACATAGAGTTCTCTAATATTTCTTCTATCTCCTAATATTTTCTATTATTTTCTACTATTTTTATTATTCACTTTATTATTCAATATATTACTGTATATATATTATATATTATATCAATATATCACAATATATTACCATACTATTATTCAATTTCTATTAGTCTATTATTCGCATTCAGTATCTCTTCGGATAATCAACATTTTAATGATTGATTAACCATGCAGTCTAATGAATAATAAATTGAATTCCTCTATAAAGAAAAAAAAAAAAAAAAAAAAGAAAGTGTGAACTAATTAGAGAACAATTTTTCGCACGTAACTTTGGAAACCAGTGTTAATAATGTTCCCAGCTTAACATTGTAGAAGTGAAGAAAGTACAATGTACCAAAATGAGATCCAATTGCCATAAATCGTTGTTTGACTTTGATCTGACGCTCGGAAGAGAAAAAAATCTCGGGAAAAGGGAGTCGTGAGGGTAAAAAAGACTAATTCTAATTAGTAAGGGAGAGAAGAGAAAGAAGGCATGCGAAATCTTGTTGGTGCATACCGGCACGTAACATCGTGTGGGCCATAAACTAGAGGGGGTTAGTTAGATACTTATGCGACGGCTGATGGAGCAAGGAAGAGAGCTGAGAGAGAAGGGTTGTATCTCTGGATACATAATAACGGTTAGCTCGGAATTAGTGAACTAATACGGGCAAGCGCCGATCGGTATCGCGCTTGCCATTTAGGCCCTAACCAAACTATACACCTGCCTACCTGTAATCACGATCCATCTACGCTAACAGATTTTTCCTCTCTTTCTCTTCTCTCTACGTACAGCACGCGATACGATGATCCTTTCCTCTTTCTCTCTCTGAACCCGATCTTAAATCGCATATACTCGTAATTGAAATGTACAAGCGATACTTACACCCTTTGGTATGGCTCTCTTTAGAACTATATAAACAGCTAATTGGGACGTTAATGGCTGATAAGATTTTGACCTGATTTCTCGGGCAATTTGGGTGCTTACGCTTGAAGATGGTGTTCACGGTTCAACGAAGATTGAGGATCATTTCGCGGTTGATCTGGTTTTACACGATGAGAAATTTGGGGGGAATTGGAATGAATTATACCCTACAGAGAGTATAGTGGCAGATGTTTTAATTTTGGAAATGAGCGTAAGTGACTGAGAAGTGCTCTTAGTGCTGGAAAATCCGCAACACAAAGTATTAGTCACCAATTGTAGTGTGCAAAATATAATGTATAGCGTCGTATGTAATAAAATTATAAATGTAAATTCTAAATTATAAATGTAAATTATAAAACTCCACTTAAATTAAGAAATGTAAATTCTAAATGTAAAAAAAAAATTATAAATGTAAATTTATAAATGTAAATTATAAAACTCCACTGAGTTAATAATTTCTTAATAATTTACACCATTTTTTCGCTTGTGCGATGAAAATTCACGTTCAGATAAGTGACGAAATGAAATTCAATAAATTTCTAAACAAAGCAAAGCTCTACTGCGGTTAACAGAAATATAGAAACAGAAATAATGTTGTAAATAATAACTATCAGGTTAATAATCCGAAACTTCTTCGAAACATTCGTGCGGCAAGAATTCACCAATTTACTGCCATTCTTTCGTTCGTAACGTACTTGAAATAAATGAAGTTATTATAATAGCTGCCTGCGGCGTTCCGGTTTGTTAAAAATTCCCGTGATAATCCGCTCTGAAACGTCGAACGATGGAGGGAGAGCGAGAGAGGGAGAGGCAATCGAAGCAGCCGAACGATGTAATTAAACTCGTTTAATAACAAGTCCATAGATCTCGCCATTCTCGATTATTCGCCGTATAAAATTTCTTCGTTAATTACTGTCAAACTGGCTTCCAAATCGTAATTTAGTCGACGCCTCGAGCGACCATCCGCGGGAGGGGAGGGAAAGAGCGAAAGAGCAAGAAGGCGAACGCGCGTGCAGACGCGAGGAGAGAAAAAAAGGAAAAAGAAAAAAAAAAAGGGAAAGGAGGGGCGATTTTAATTTTTACCAGCGAACAACGACTCGTCCTCTGATCTCGCCGACGCGAGACGGTAGCTGACCTCGTACTGAATGTCCGAGAAACGATAACGAGGAGGCCTAGCATAAATGTCACGGCATAAATCCTGCGAGAGCCCCCGATACACACAAGGTGTTGCATTAGCGTTGCTAATACGTCGGCTCTGCCAGGACTCATTTACCTCGATGCTCGATTCATGTTCGTGGATTTTGAATTTTGTATCATCCTCCTCAGAGGAGGGGGAGGGGGAGATACAACCTACCGGCGATTAGGGCAATTTGCAGCGGGATTTCGCTCTTTTTGATTGATGAGGACGAAGAGTACGGAGGAAAAGGGGAAATTTTCGTTGTAATTAAGGTAATTAAGAGGCGCGGATAATTTTCCAAAGAGAAGATCCTCGAACAGGATTGAGAAAGTAGAGGTAGAACTACAAATTCCCAAGCAAGTTTCGTGGTAATATAAATTGAAAAACTGAGAAATCGGAATTTTACGTACTCGCGTCAGCGAATACGTGTAAATAACCCGTGAAAGAGGCAAAGGTAATCAAGATCTTATAAAGAACGAATTTGCAGTCTTTTTTTATGTTTTTTTTTTTCTTAAAACTCTGTAACTCGAGCATCTATAAATAATGTAATGCACGAGGTATAATTTTTATACGAGTAGAGTATTAATTAAATTTATATATATATTAATATAATATATAATATATAATACATATAATATAATATAAAACTCTGTAACTCGAGCATCTATAAATAATATAATGTACGAGGTATAATTTTTATACGAGTAGAGTATTAATAAAATTTATATATATTAAATTTCTTTGACATTTGGAACTTTCACATGTTAATAACAATTAAATATGCATCATTTTCCTACACTTAACACTAGAACTACCAAAATAGTCAAAATGACGAAATTTCTGTGATTTTCCGCAGAAATTTTCTACATTTACAATTACTGGATTCGTAATGTAAATTCAAATGATTTATTATAAAATACACAGCAAATAAAATAAAAACTTTTTTACAAATACTTTGCTACTTTACTTCTTAACGAACAAGTACTCTCCATTTTATAACAAACTTTTCCCAATCTCTCGCAATCGAACTTCTCTGACACAAGTTTCACACTCTGCTTAGATCGGTAGTTCTAGCGTTATACAGCGCAGCAGAAAATCAAACCCAAGATCAATGAATTCGTCGAATGTCGAATGCGATTGATCATCGACAAACTGTAGAAACTCACCTGTATGCGGCATATTGATCCAAGGATTTCCGTGACAGCCTGAAACAGAGAACGAGAGCAGTTCGTTAACGATCGTGTGGATCATCTGCAATTATCGGTCGATTCTTTACGGGCATGCAATTAACGTTCGTTCGTTTTGCATTAAATGTACTATAACGTATTTAATACGCCTGTATATTTCGTTGCTGTGTACACGTACGTACATACACGTTCGAAGACGACGTTCGCATGTGTGTGTGTGTGCGCCACCGCAGTTTACGGGAACACAGCCTTTACTGTTAATGAATTTAAATGTATTCAAAGGGCGCGCTTGACGCTTGACATGGCAACCCTTAAATATGCAACCGTACCACGCGGCAAAATATTATCGCCAACGCCGCGCCGTGGCTACCGTGACTCTCATTCCGTGAAAATAACGTAATCGCAGGTGAAATTGAGCCCCGCCTCGCGGTTATTCGCAATCGGCGCACGTATCGGCGATTTCGCGCCAAACCGGGGCGACAAACCTGGGTACAAAGGCACGTGCAATTTCATCCTGACGCGCAGCGAGAGCCTCCCCGAAGAAAAATTCCTGTCGAATTAATTTTTATTAACGTTTTTATGTAACGTTCGAGGCGAGAATTAGCGGAATTTCTCGATAATTTTCACATTTATCGAGAGGCATTTTTCCATTCTTTTTGGTTTTTTATTTGGAGGTTGTAATAAATCTGTGCTTGTCGAAGACTGATTATACAAAAATATATTATATATATATATAAAATATATAAATATATATATTGTCGAAGACTGAGCGAGCAGGATTTGGCTTGTATTCACAATGAATTATTGGAAATTTGCGCACTCGCGTTGTAGAAGATGAATTCTGAGGCGCAACTTTCGGATGTGACTGGTATTGAGAATAAATGTTACGAAATCTTTAGAACGTAGAAGATGATGGAATAATTAATATGAAGAATAAACGACGAACAATTATTATTATGACTATTTATCTTTAGAATGTGTGTAGAAACTGATAGAGTATTGGGAATGCTAGTTATTCCTGAATATACTTAATCACTGTTACGAAACCTTTGGAATATGGAAGATGATGGTTGCGTGGAGATGAATTTTTTGGAACTAGTATCGAGAATAAACGATGAATAATTATTACGAAATCTTTGAAATGTATTTATTTTTGGAAGATAATGATCATACGAAGATCAATTTTGCACTTTTGACTGAGGGAACAGACGAAGAATGGCTATTATGAACGATTATTATGAAAGTAGTAGATGATATTAGGACGAATAATTGTTGTAATAAAATCTTTAGATATCGATATTTAAATAACAAAATTATACGAAGTTAATATTTCTGAGGAAACTGATTTTGAAAATAAATTTTGGGGCACGATTCTGTTAGATTCTCTCTTCATCTATTACAAATCGCTCTGCCGATCTCGATCATTAGTTTATTACAATTTCCGATTCCAATTTCAAGATTATAGCTATAGTAGCAATTTTCGTCGACAAGCAATGGTAATATGGAAATATTACATAGATATAACTATTGCTAAAAGTTCCTTCCTAGTCACGCAATACTTGCTTTTCTGCCACAGTATTTTGAAGAAGTAAATCATCCTTTTTTCCCTGTTCTTCCTATTCTTACGAAAACACCAATTACGAAATTATAGTCATTTGTATCTGTTATATATGTATAAAAAAATATTTTTTCCACAGAGTCCGCAATATTTATTTAATAATAATTTAATTTTATTACAATCTTATTTTTATTATTTATATTTATTTAGTAATAATTTAATTTCATTACAATCTTATTTTTATTATTTATATTTATTTAGTAATAATTCAATTTTACTACAATCTTATTTTCATTATTTATATTTATTTAATAATAATTTATTTTTATTACAATTTATTTATATTTATTTAACTAAATTTATTTATATTTATATATAATTTAATTCTATCACTATTTAATTCTATTACTATTATATATTTCTATTAATTTACTTTTATTATCTACATTTATTTAATAATAATAATTTAATTTTATCAAACTCTGTTACTCCCTCGCACGTTTCAAGACATCCGAACTCTACTTGCGCGCACACAAACGTCGATTCAAAAAAAANAAAAAAAAAAAAAGAAGAAAAACAGAAATGGTTGCTGCAGACCAGGAATCTGGAAAGGAGAGCAAACCTGGTGGGTGTGTCGCGGCGGCTTGAGAATTCTAAAGAGATCTCGAGCGGGTAGCGGAAAACTACGTGGAATGCGTGCGTAGCGTGGCGGGTGGCGTGTACTTTGCGATGCAAATTAATGCGCGATTACCAAAGCACCCCGTGCCCTACCCTCCCGTCCCCCTCCCCCCCTTTCCGCCTACTCGTCGTTACCCTCGCCACGTTCGTGTCGAGGTCTCCCGCCAGCGGAGCAAATGGCCACGCGCTTATGTTCGTGTGGCCGCGCGCGCGAACGAGCGCGGAGAGACCCACGGGTTTCAGGTGTATTCTCGGGCTAAGTGCAACGAGTACCGAGGCTCAACCCCGGTCACTCGATGCCTACCCACGCATTAAGCCTGCTTACACGCTCGCTCCCCTAATCTGATGTAACTATTACACGTTACGCGGCTGCACGGTCGCGCTATCGACGGCGGATTATTTTTACTCCTCTTTTTCTTCTCTCGTACCTATTCTTCTTCCTTCACTTTGCTTACGGTTTTTGCTCGCTGATCCGTTCGTTCGTTGAAGCTGATTGATTCGTCGGTAAACGTGAAATAATTCGAACGTGTCGTAGATGAAATAACACGGACACGTCTGCGTCAGAAAAAGGGCGGTTTCGAGGGAAATTAAGTATTTAAGTTTGCGGATGTGTTTGAACTGGATCTTTTGTCTAAAGTCGAGTCTGAATAATATTTTAAGTTTCTTCTTCTTTCTTTCCTCTCATTTCGTTGTTTCAGTTAGTCTGATTGTTAAGGGTTGAAGAATTCAATATGTTATAATTTAATATTATGGTATATTATTATTATATATTATATATTATAGTATATTATTATATAATTATGTAGTAAAGTGTATATTAATATTACTTAATATTATAGTATATAATTCAATATTATGATTTAATATATATTTAATAATATAATATTAATATATATATAAAATATTATATATAATATATGTATTAATATTAATATTAATATAATAATATAATATAATTATATATGATTTAATATATCAGTGAAGAATATATAATATATTATTATTGATATATTTAATATAATATATTAATATTATTATTAATATATATAATTATCAAAGAGTGTGTAATTTAATATATGATATGTCGAAGATATATCGCTATTAGGCTAAGAATTATATAATCTTCGGTATTCATCGAAATATCTGTAACGATTTTTCTATTTATGTTATTTCCTTCCCAGTTCCAAATTAATCACGCCAGTTTACTATCAAGTTCAAAGCACATCTGAAGTTCTGTGTCGAGCATCGACGAGAAAGAAACGAACGTGAGAATCGGATATCGGCGAAAATCCGCGATCCCCGAAGAAATCGAGAATGCCGTAACCAAGGCGCGCCGTGCCCCCGCAAGAAAACGACCTGAAAACATTTTTGTCTCGCGTCCGCGCAAAGACCTGGAAAATTGACGGTGCAAACTTATTACGGCGTCGACGATCACCCGTCGAAAAAACTCGACTTCTACGTATATGGCGCTTTGTAAAGTTTCGCGGATACCGAATTCCATCACGAAGCGATTTCAAGGTGTCAAGCGTTACTCGTTAAAGCATCAGTTGCAATTGCGCGAAAACAACGATCCCGTTTGTTTGTCCGAGGCTGGAGAAGAAGGATGTTGGATGACGCGTATTTATTTAATTAGACTGAATTTTCGTGACACGTGACAATTTTTTCGTTTAGCCACCCTCTTTTACAGTTTGTTTGAAGCAGTTGACTCTTAAGTTTGTAACATTCGTAAATGTAAAGTATTTCAGACGTATATTTGTATAAAGTTCTTCAGTAAAATTATTGTTCTGAAATTAGAAAATTTAAAAAAAGAAATTGTATAAAATAACATCTGTAAATGTGAAGTATTTCAGGTGTACATTTGTAGAAAGTTCTTCAGTAAAATTATTGTTCTGAAATTAGAAAATTTAAAAAAAAAAATTGTATAAAATAACATCTGTAAATGTAAAGTATTTCAGATGTATATTTGTACAAAGTTCTTCAGTAAAATTATTTTGGAATTAGAAAATTTAAAAAGAAATTGTATAAAATAACATTCGTAAATTTAAAGTATTTCAGATGTATATTTGTACAAAGTTCTTCAGTAAAATTATTTTGGAATCAGAAAATTTAAAAAAAAGAAATTGTATAAAATAACATTCGTAAATTTAAAGTATTTCAGATGTATATTTGTAGAAAGTTCTTCAGTAAAATTATTTTGGAATTAGAAAATTTAAAAAAAAGAAATTGTATAAAATAATATTTGTAAATGTAAAATATTTCAGACGTACATTTGTACAAAGTTCTTCAGTAAAATTATTGTTCTGAAATTAGAATATTTAAAAAAAAGAAATTGTATAAAGTAACATTCGTAAATGTAAAATATTTCAAATGTACATTTGTACAAAGTTCTTCAGTAAAATTATTGTTCTGAAATTACAAAATTTAAAAAAAGAAATTGTATAAAATAACATTTGTAAATGTAAAATATTTCAGACGTACATTTGTACAAAGTTCTTCAGTAAAATTATTGTTCTGAAATTACAAAATTTAAAAAAAGAAATTGTATAAAGTAACATTCGTAAATGTAAAATATTTCAGATGTTTATCCTTTATACGTCAATTGTTTTTGCAGACAAAAATGTTGTTGCAGAATTTCAAACATGTTAACAATTCAAAAATTTCGATACCATTGAAAACTTAGTAGGATGTTCGAAAAATCAATGAAATTCTTCTCTAGCAAGTGAAACTATCATCTAATCCTATTATCGTCATTATCGTTAACAATAAGTTACAAGACAAAAAA